CCCCTTGCGTACCAGAGGTCAAGAACACCGGGCCAGTGGATATAAGCGTAGTTACTGTGGTTGTGCACATTTTAAAGCAGTATACGTTCGCAGACGGTACGTTCAGAATATTCTCCAATATATTAAGAAGACTAAGATGGGAGTAAGAAAGTTGCAATTGTATGATGAACAATTAAGAGACGTTAAATTTGATAATAAAGGTATGACGAGATTGCTAAATGGTATTGAGTTGGGTAATAAGAGATATGATCGTCAATCAGACAAGATCATGGTTAAGGGTATAAAATTAATTGAGAATGTTCAATTGGGACAAGATGCTAAAGGCGAAACTGTAGTTCACCACGTATTGTTTTTCGTCATAAGTGATAATAGTCCATCAGATTCTATCCCCACACCTGACAAGATATTTATTGGAGTTGGTGAGGGTAATTCTGAGACCTGGATTGTTGATCCTGGCTAGTCCGACCGGTTTCGGATGCTAAAGAAAATGAGATTCAAGCTCCTTGGTGGCAGGGACAAATAGTACGTTCATCACAGAATAGAAGTTGTGGACCGGTTCTTCCCAATTGATGTTTGGACGGATTACAAAGATACATTGTTGGGAAATGTTGGAAGTATTTAGAAGGGTGTCATATATATAGTGGCTGCTACTGTTAGTGGAAAAGAATGCAAAATTACGTTAAGGAATCAAATGTACTTTAAAACTATTTAGAATTGTAATATATGTATTTTTATTTCTAATGTTCAGGTGAATGGAGGTGGACGATATAAGAACTGGTGTTGTTGAAGGTGTTTTAGCAAGTAATTTCAGTTGTATTGAACTTCCTTTGCCTAATTTATTTTCTCAGTTGAGGTTGAGATACAAACAAAAGAGTATTAAGGTTGATAAAATATTTACTCCTTCGTGCTTCCAATGCTAGTGGGTTGGTTAGAGTATATGTGTATGATAGGAGATTAGATGGTAATGACAGTTTGCAGGCGTACTTTATTTTCCCTGTGGATTGCCAGTGCGAATTAGTCTATTATGGGAATGATTATTGTTCAATTAACGACAAACAGGTGCCATGGATGGTGAATTATCGACTTGAAAATTCAAACATTAAAATGGGTATTACATATTGTAAAATGAAGGGGTATTTGAAGTATTCTATGAGTGGAATGCCAAAAGATGCGTAGATGAGGGCCCTATCTATTGTTGTTTTATCTAAAAAATATACTAATGATAATGTTGATGTTTGGCGCTGTGCTCCAACCAAAGTTATTCCGATTCTGACACGGATTATGTCTGTGGGTTTACTAGAGAACGCGAAGAGATTTGTTGTTAGAAGGTTTTGGGAAAAGTGGTTCAGTTATTCATGAACGTAGAGGTCGTCTGAGTTTGTCTGAGATTGATGTACGCAGAGGTGGTGATGGTGCTAGTAATGTTGATCCTGGTCGTCTGAGTTTGTTAGGAGATTTCAGATGTGGGTATTAGAAAAGAAGAAATTGATCGGAGAGGATCAGTTATTATAGAACCCATAAAATTTTCTGATGTTTTACGAAATGCAATAATTAATGTAAAAAATAGTGATGTGACTCAAGATGTAATAGTTGATGATAAAGGAAAGTAGTAAGTAAATAAAAGTTTGAGTGGTTTCATAAATAAAATTTTTTTAAAAAAATCATTAATCATGATAGTGGTTACATTAACATCAAACCATTCTCTCATTTTTGGGGACATTACATTTAACCAATTATTGTCCCCATTTGTTAATATAATACAAGGAATTCCTCATTTAATAGTCAGATCTGGTTGGAATTCAACAAATACATGGAAATCTCTCTGGCAGCCCCATCCATACATGTGTTCACAAGTACAATAATGGACGGCCCAGATCAGCGTGCGAGAGGGGGGGCGCTGGTAATATTAATACAGTGCCCCCACCCCAGTCCAACCACTCACACCATTCACACTGAATTTTATAACTAATAAGGAGGCCTTGTACGGCTGGTGTGAGTTCACTGTTTATCTCTACAAAATGCCTCGCCAAGTCTCTTTCCATTTCTATACCAATAATGTTTTCCTTACATACCCACAATGCCCATACCCAAAAAAATAACTCTTAGAACTCCTCTAATCCCTACTCTAACTAGCCTGTCAGTCATACTACATACTTGTCACAAGGGAGCTCCACGAAGATGGAAACCCTCACTTTCATGCAATGGTTCAATGCACAAAGAAGATCCAAACCTCCAACTCGAGATTTTTCAATCTCACTAGAACCAACGACAAAATATATCATCCAAATATAGAAAAACTCCATTCTCCAACAGTAAGTCGACAGTATATACAGAAAAATAGCGACTTCGTAGAATGGGGAGAATTTTCATCCAAGGGAAAAAGTCCTTCAAAGAACAGAGATGAACTCTAGTGGGGAATACTTGCAGAAGCAGAAACAGAGGAACAATTCTTTACACTCTACAAAGAAAGATGTCCTACCGATTACGTCACAAAATACTGCCAATTAAAAACATTTTTGAGGAATCATTACAAACAAGAGCGGTCCCCATATACTAACCCCTTTAATTTATTTCTTTTTTTAAATGAAGAAGTAAAAAAATTGGCAGAAAATAATATTTTGTTTGTAAGTCGGAATTTTGTAAAATACGAACTATGTCAAAATTGTTGTTTCTCTGTTTACAATGAAGACGACAACATTAGATTAGGGATACACAAGAATAATACACACGATTTATATATTGATGAAGAACTCTCCTCCTCCTCTGATAGCAGGATTCGAAACAGCAGCCCATCCGCCCAATCTCCCTCTACCTCGAAGGACCCTCAAGAACAGGAAAAACTGCCTAGGCCAAAAGTCTCAAACGGCACAATTACTTCTCCGACAGAATAAACTTCAAGGATTACGATCAAGGCGCGATTGTTAAGCATTTAGCCCTTTGGCAGGAGAAAACATCAATATGTCTGAGAAGTTAGAATGATTTTTCATAAATTTCACAAATTAAGAAAAATCATGAAACTTGGTCGGGAAAACCTTTCCCCCAAGACCTCTTTCCAGTAAAAATTTCAACTCGAAACTCCTTCATTTGGATGCTCAAACAATGCGTCAAAAATCTACACTGTTGGCTGTTGTTGCTGGTTACTGCTGCCTGTTACTACTAGTATGCTGGTTGCTGGCAGTTGGGATGCTGCTGCTGGCTGTTGCTACTGGTTGTTGGCATGGGCTACGGCCTTGCTGCTATTGGCAGTGGGCTGCAACCTTGCTGGTGTTGCTGGCTGTTGTTGGTGGCCGCTTGTGCTGGTTGCTGGCATGAGCTATGGCCTTACTACTACTCGTTACTGCCTTGGGCTGCTTGGGGACAATGTCGGGCCACGTTAAGGCACTTCTAATGGCCACACTTGAGCGCTCAAACGGCCACACCACCACGTGAAAAATGTCACGGAATTTGCCTTGCAAGACAACCCGTGACACCAAGCCAAGACTCATCGAGTCAAGTTAAACCACTCAGGGTACAGGCTTGCGCCAATAAAAGCCCAACGAATTATAACCCATAGGTACACATGAACTCAACCCAAATAGTTGGGGGATTCTATTTATACCCAAAAAATTATTAAATACTCTCAATTTCTAAGTACACCCTATTTAATTATTTAAAATTTTATTTTACTCTCATTGTACCCTATTATTTTTTCCAAATTATCCTCAAGGTAATCCCAAATAATAAATAATAAATAAATTCAAAAAAAAACTAAATTATTTCAAAAAACTTTTCAATACAGAAAATAATTCTCAAATATAGAAAAAAAAACCAACCTGATAAGCACATAAGTATTATAAATACAAAAAACACCAAACTTTTACATAAGCATTATAAAACTTTTCAATACAAAAAAAATTTGAAAATACTTATCTTTTTTTTTGATACTTATCTTTTTTTTTGATAGATTGCTTCAAAAAACTATTTTGATTATTATTCTCATTCATTATTTGATTTTGTTCAAACTTTCTTTTAGAGTTTAAGGTTTCAAAATAATAAAAAAACAATAACGTTGATGATGATTGTGAGCCTTGGTAAGTAGATTGGAGTTTTGGAGAGAGGATGAAAAAGAAAAAATTTGTTCTCTTAGAAAAGAAGATACAAAAATTTAAATAGGAATAACTGATTAGGGTGTACATGAAGGGAAAAAAAAATATTTTAAAGTTTAATGTGTTGTCCTTATTATTAAATTCATATTAAGATATAATAAAAATTAAAATTTATGAATTTAAGTTGGACATACTAAAATATATTTTGGGTTCAAATAGAATCCCCCAAATAGTTGCTACATTCAGATTCAGTCTTGCACCAAACACAAGCATGCAAAACTCAGATTCCATATATTTTGGGTTCAAATAGAATCCCCCAAATAATTGTTACATTCAGTCTTGCACCAAACACAAGCATGTAAAACTCAGATTCCAACATGGGGATTCGGAATCAAACACTCAGATAACAAACATAGCAGAAGCATGTTTAGATGACAAGCAAAGAATTGATCGAAAATTAGCTAGATAACAGTGATCCGAGTATTATATATACAGCCGTGATTCAGGGCCCGAAAACACGGGGCTCGAATGCCCCGTATTTCCATTTAAGGTAAAAAAAAAAAAAAAAAAAAGGAAAAAGAAAGTAAAAAAAAAAACAGTTTCCAGAAATAGAAATTAGGGGTATTAGAGGCAACTTTTTTAGGGCCACCAATCATTTTCCTTATATATATACATATACATGAGTTTCCTTTCCCGAGAATACAGGGAAGGACACATATACAGCTCATTAGCAGGATGAAAAGACCATTTTCCTATAATTTTTTCGATACAAAGATACATGAAACAATACACGACAGAGAAGTCCTCAACAAGTTTCGAAACTTCAAAATGAGAAGCCAAAAAACTAGTCATTCGGTCTACACGCTTATTACCTACCTCCTGCGATCAACTCCACTAGATTGAAAATGGTTTTTGGTATAAAGTCAGCTTTTAAGAGTAGATGGTCAAATAAGATCAGTTCTACATACACGCGTGTGCTGTTGTCAGTCTGTTGGTACACGATTAAGTTGTAATATATGCGTTCTCAAACTACAGTGCTTAACCTGTCGATGAAAAAGTAAAATGAGAAATTTCTCATTAGTGGGTGAAGCGAAATTTTTTTATGAAGAACGTAACAGATGGACACGTGTACCTGCATGGCTGCTAACATGGACAAGAAATCTTTGCATTGTTCAAGTAAAACCTGCTCGTTTGCAATCACTTTTGCGAGTTCAGAGACCAAAGACTTCACGTCCTCTGCCTGAAAATGATGAATGGCATAAGGCATAACAATATATTGGCTAAAATAAATAAATAAGCCATGCCTAAGCCATTTTACGTATGAGCTTCATTTTTACACCAAGTTACTGATATAGCAAAGTTAGCAACATTGATTATCTCACCATTTTCCTATGTTCTATGACTACAAAGATAGAAGGAAACTTTCCATGGCTACAGCGCACATGAAGTCCATATAACGTAATGTAGAAATTTAATGTATAAAGAGAAATGATTGTATTATTGATTGTTGTATTGATATTTATTACAATGATTCATGATTCATATATATAGAAGAGGGTGAGTGTATAGTAGGTGAGGAGTAGGTGGAGAGTAGGTGAAGTAGGTGAGTGTGTAGTAGGTGAGTTTTAACAGCCCCGCAAACTCAAGGGGGATAGGAACTAACCAACTTGAGTTTGGAGAGAGTAACAAAACAAGAAAATAATCTGAAAAATAAAAAATGGATAGGAGACACTGGATGGTCGTGTCAGACCGATGGTGAAGACACTGTATGGTGGTGTCATAACGTTGTAGAGGACCCTGGAAGGTTGTGTCAGACCGATGTAGAAGACAGTTTATGGGGTCATTGTCGGACCGTTGTAGCAGACAATGCTGTGACAGTTGTTGTGACAGTTTACGGAGTCTTGCTGGACCCTTGTAGAAACTAACTGGAATCAATGTCGGGACAGTTTACAGAGTCTTGTCGGACCCATGAAGGAGCTAACCGGAATCGATGTCAAGACAGTTTACAGAGTCTTGTCGGACCCCTAAAAAGTCGCACCCTCAAAAGGTGTGCCCAATTTTTCAAAAGGCGTGCCATCAAAAAGCGTGCCCAATCCATAAAAAGGCGTGCCATCAAAAGGCGAGCCCAAGTCATAAAAAGATGTGTCGGACATGATGGCGAGGCACGTCACCACATTGGCTTACGCGCCCGTTTTGTCGTCTGGCGTCAAATGGCGCGCAATGCGCGTGTCTGCCTTGGCTATTTAACCAAGGTTGAGGCGGAGGCTGTGCAAACCAGTCTGAAACCGCCGAACGTTTGCATTTTGAAATACTCTGTAAACATTCTGTAACCAACCCTTCTCTGAAACACTCAGCAACCCATAACATGGCCTCTTCTTCCCGTCCAGCTACCCAGAACATGGCCTCCTCTTCCCGTGGTCTGCTCACTCTCTTTCCAGAACTGAACGAAT